GGTTACGACCATACCATGTTTCCATAGAGATTTTGTTAGTAATTCCGCATCACGGTCATCTGCAGACAGAATTGGAGCATAGATACTGATTACCGAGATATTGCAAAACTTACCCTTAAAGCGGGCATAGATCGTACGATCGTTACCGGTTTCAACTCAATCTAAGCAGAATGGGCCATGTCAGACATGATAATCGCTGCGCCATTTCTCCCGAGTTATCCGAAGCATCATAGTGATATAGCCAGTGTTTTTGCTACGAGCTAGGATTAGTAATTACTCGAGACCTGAAGTAAGGAAGACGGACCTCCGACAAGCGATATCCACATGATATTTAGAAAAATAGTAATAAAGATAGTGAAGATAGTGTGGATAGTGATCACTTGACTTGCAACGTCCATAACCATTCTGATTCCACGCTGATCCGCCAATATCTCGCCGTGAGCTGTTTCCCTTGATAGGTCTCGAGCAATTACCCTGGCTAGCGAGCATATTTTATTTGTCTGTCTTGGAATCGCTTTAGGTCCGGATTGTATACTTATCGTATGTACTACCGGGCTGAGAGTATTATGCGCGTCGGAAGACGCGGACGCCGTATCAAGAATATCTGACCCTTTCACCATAGAGTTACAGGTGGGTCCTCAGCAATCACCCGGATTTTTGACATAAGATAATTATTTTAAATTTTATTTGTTTTAGAATATTATTGTAAATTTTATGTATATATATATATATATATATATATATATATATATATTTATTCATTTCAAATTTTATTTTTAAATTTTTAAAAAGAAAAAAAAACTTAGCTCGTATGTAATTTTCTAAAAATATTCAAAAAAAATTTACAGCCGAATAGCAATACAACCGCTCAAGACCAAATCAGAATAATCCAAATGCAATTCGAACCAAAACACTCTTGTTTTCCATTCCATGTCGATCGCCTGCCCTGTTGTGACTTTTTCGTTTAGACTGAACGGGATTTGTGAAGCTGTCACACCAAAACAATGTAATAATTTTTTATTTTTATTGAATATGGGGACAATGGTTTAGGTAAAACGTGAGTTTAACAAAAACTATTTATATTGCAAAGAAAAAAAAACCCACTTCCACACAGCGTTCAAAAAGAAGAAAGAAAGGCTGACCTTTTGATTTTTATAAACAATGATTCATAGTTTCGAGAAAATTCTCGACATTCTCGACACTGTTGTGACCTTTTTATTTTTATAAGCAATGATTCATAGTTTCGAGAAAATTCTCGACATTCCCAAGAGGGGAGAAAACGAGCAAGAGGAATTTGGGTTGATAACTTAAAACATTTTTAATGGTAGTTTTAAATTCCTTTTTGTTGTGTAGGTCTTCTCCTAATAAATTCATAGGGATAGCAATGCTTTCTTGATTTGAATTTCTACTACATTTTGGACATAAAGGAAATAAAATCAATTGACAATTTAATTTAACAACAATTAGCACTATCAACAGAATGAACATACTAGTTCCACCAATAATCATGCGCCAATGTACGGCAAATTCCGAAAATTCGTTTTGTATCAGTAACATAGCTTTGCCAATCTCATCATCCAGCTGTTCTGCTAGCTCTTCTCCTTCTTGACTGATTTCTTGCCAGATAGTTTCCATGTTTTGTTGATGAGATACTGGATTGGGTTTTTGTTTGTCAGCCAATATTTCTATTTCCGCATTGATTCTTTCAATTTCAAATTTGCTTATTATACCGACTATTCTTTCATAAATTCCTCCACTCCACGGTGCCTTCGGCGTTATATACTTCCATATTATTCCTTTGCTTGTAAGGAAATTACTTAATTGTGATTCTTGTTTCTTGATCGTCCGATAGACTAAGTGGAATTGGCTAGCATTGTCTGATAAAATTAGTTCAGGACAGCCTCGTCGTGCTACGAATCTTCTTAACGCAGTAAGAAAACTTTCTGCAGATAAATCATCTGCTAATTCTAAATGCACTGCACGAGTTGTGAAACATGTAAATAATGCTATCCACCTTTTCGCCATTCCAACTTCCGTTTTAGCAGTGACAGGGCCTAAATAATCCACTCCGATTCGAGCAAATATTCTGGATCGTACTATTCGGGAATCATGGTAGTCAGGCATGGGTGGCAGTTTAAACGATTTGGCTTTCCATCGTTTGCATCCGTAACATTTATTCAACACTCTCTTGACTTCGGCTCTTCCTTTAGGTATCCAATATAATCTTCTTAATTCAGAAATTGCATGAGGAATGCCGCCATGATGGATTTTTTTCATGGTATGTTTGAATAATAATTTCTGTTATTCGATTATGTCTCGGGGGATATGTTAAATATGAGATACAACTACCACTAATTGGAAATTGCAATCGGCTTTTAAACCTCCATAATCCCGTTACATAATACAAGTTGCGCTTCTGTATTTCCTCTACTGATAGTCCTTTTGATTGAGCTTGTCTGAGTAACAAATCAATAGTAAATTCATATTCATATGGGTTGATTTGAGTTCCCTGTGACATATTGCTTAATAACCGGGGAAATTTATGGATATTAGTTTAAGAAATTTCAAAGCTCTTACGGTAGTTCGGACCATTCGTGACCAATTGCTGAACCGATTCGCATCGACAAATCTGATTGATGTTTTGGTAATAGTTTCTTGAACCGCTGTAACTACTACTTGTTCTCCTTCTTCGTCTATTGTTTCTTCGTTATCGCTTTCTTTTTTGATATCATATTCCCAATGGGGCCCGTTTGATTCTTCCTCCTTTAGCCATTCGGGCTCATTCCACCAAAGTGTGAAATTTGCCAGATCGCTTGGTGATATTCCTTTGGTAGCTATGTCTGCTGGATTACACTCACTTGGAATATATCGATACGCAAATTTGGCCTTTCGTATCTCTTCGACTCGATTTTGAATGAATCTTGGTAAGAGTCGAGAATGGTTTTGTATCCAGTGCAATGCGCACCGTGAATCTGACCATAAAATCACCTGTGCATTTTCAAATTCCAATTGTTTGATAACAAAATGAGCTGCTCTTACTCCAATTAAGATTGCTAATAGTTCGAGTTTCGGTATCGTCATCGTTTTGATTGGGGCTACTCTTGACTTGGCAAAAATCAAGGACGTTGTCGGACTTTGTTTCACATAAACTGCCGCTGCATATGCTTTGATGGACGCGTCAGTGAACACGTGGATACTTGTATATTGAAATGTGTTGATAACAGCGCGTGGTATCTCCTTTACGTATGTTGGCCATAGAGTTATAAGGGGATTCCACGTTTGGTTTTCATGCTCGTTTAGTGGTTGATCCCATGGTAACTTCTTTTTCCAGAGATCTTGAAGAAATAGTTTGAAGGATATCATTGTTGGAACTAAGAAACCTAATGGATCGAAATGAGAAGCTATAAACTGTAGAATTGTTCTTTTAGTTAGTTTCTTATCAGTCCATGGTTTTAATATTATCTCTATGACATCGTTGTGTGGATTCCAACTAATGCCAAGAATTTTTTTGACTCGGCTTACCTCTGCAAGATCGTAACTGGGTAATTGAGTATTGAAACTTTTATCGTTCGAGAAGAATTCTCTTATATTCATCGAGGCCTCACTGAAGATTGATTTCACTTCTTCATATTTTTTCAGAGCTTCCTTTGTCCCTTCAATCGATATTATGATATTATCAACATATAGGTTTTTTCTGATTTCATAGGCGGTTTTGCTGTGGTGGTTTTCTAAATGA